AATAATACATTCTAACAGGAATTGTGATTAAGATGGAATAAATAGTTATCTTATTTCGGAAATATCTTTTAGTAGCCTGTTGTGTTCGCCTGTGGTGGCGGGATCACCATTTTTGTGGCCCGTGATCTGACTCCAATTTGATCGTTGTGGAATTAAATATGCGCCTATCCTCGTATTTAATCATTGACTTAAATCGCATTAGTTAATAACGGAATTAAATAAGTCAAATAACGAGAATGGAGTTTCGAATACATATATTTTGTATAATTGTTGATTAGACAAACGAACGGAGAAACGATGCGAAGATTAGAAAGCGAAGCTAAATTGGCGCGCGGTGGAAATGGCTGGTAAGCCAACTCTCATTTAACAAAGAGTTAATCAATATTTATAAGCACATCAAGATAAATTACAGACATGTGATGAGTAACGGGATAAGAAGTGTACATACGCCTACGCGCTCATACAAACACAGTCAAGACATTGATAAGCGAATAATTAACAAGGTCAAAATGTGACTCAAATAGAATGAATAGAATGAGCTGTCCGAAAGTTAGAATAATGAGGTATTTGGGCTTAACATAATGACAGACACTACAATCTAATAATTCTGTATCATAATCTGTTACGAACTATATACTGCTTGTGAATACGATTCTCTTCTACCAAGTGTTTTTCGAAATAGCCATTCAGCACCAGGAAATGAGATAAGATGATTTCCACTACGGTTGTAGGAAAAGGTTTTGGTTAGTTCCCTGATACTACTCGTTAAGCGTAACCATAACACTAACTATCCTTCTGCAACCAATTCCTGTGGATCGTAGTGGCTTAGGTTGATTGATCAATCACCTCGATAATCGTAATTATATAAATCTTAACGGTGTTTCAAATCAGAAAGCAATAAAAATTAGGGACTACAGTTTATTAGAAGATAGCACAGTTAACGAAGCTACAAACACGTCAAGCAGATTTGGAGCAGAGAGGCTAATATGTGTGCAAGTGAACGAATACAGAGGCGAATTTATTGTGAAATCGAGCCAAGGCGCAGTGAAACAAAGGCTATTAATAGGATCCCAGTGTATATACACATAGGGAAGAGAATGATTCATCGAGTGATATTTAAGCTATCAACGTTTTAGCTAGAGAGAGATATGTACGTAGGCTTTCACACGTTTATACAGATATGATAGTGATTATAATTAATACAAAGAAATAGATGAGTTGTTATTGTTCAAATAATATTGATAAATAAGTTAATAAAAGAGGTTAACAAAAGCTAACTATGATTGAAACTGATTATGGAAAAGTTGTTATAATATAATTCTGTTTCAATAATGTGAATTATAGTATGCCAATGTCACCAGGACTTCATTTGACGACATTATTAAGTGATGTTGAAAAAGTATACTTCATCAAGTTAGTGTTTTATGAATGATTTATTATAGTTACGATGTTTAGAGTTTCTGTTTAAGTGAATCTAAGATCAGAATTTGCTTTTACTTAATTAGTGTGATCACTTATTCTATTATTCATTCACAACTACATTATTACCAAAAATGACAGTTAAAATTGGACAATAAAATCAGTTATAGAGAAGACATTAACTGCAACTATAGATTCTTTAGACATTTTCCTAGAATGTTTAATGCCAACGATAATTATGCTGTATTCATCCTCTTGGATATTCTTCAGAAAATATATATTGGTATCTAATGCTTATCCATATCCATCCTAATACTTAATCAAAGTGAAGAAGACTAAATATTTTGGTCTAGATACTTAATCACTACAAAGTGTAAGAAGGATTTGGTTACATAAATTATCAACATATTCTTACAAGTAGTTTGTGCTATGATATAAAGTTAGCAATTCAAACCCACAAGAATAAAATTATAAATAACAGAATAAAACTAAAATTATCTAGCTCTTTTTCTCAACACATCATGCTCATTAAATCATCATTATAAAGAGATTTATCAACTAAGTAAGCAACAATATCTACTGTGTCGATAGTAGAAAGTATAAAGTAGTAATTCTTTTTTTCTATTCTTAAGTTGCTGAGCGCCTAATTAAGAAACAAATAACTCATATTAATATGAATTAGTTGTTATGGTATTCGTAAGTACCTTAACGAAAAATATAAAGGAATTTTATGTATAGCGAATTCGTTTAAATGTATATTAAATATTAGGTTAGGAATTCAAAATCATAATACGTTCAATTGCAACAGAAGGAAAAAAACTAGATTTAACGATAAAACTTGATCAATATGTGATCCGTTCCTCATTCTGATCATATAGTACAAGTAGCAGTATATCCGTCATTTTTCTTGTGATTCACTGGTTTTTGGCTTGAATACTCTCCAAAACTGTATTTTCAGCCAATACAATTTATCCTCTACAGTTAAATTATAAAATTATTAATATGAGAAAACTTATTTGGAAAGGATATAAAGTATTAGACAACTCGATCAAATTAACAAGCGATTAAATATACAGAATCGAACAATATGTTAATCTATATATTCTTGTATGATAACAAGTGAAGTTTTAATCAGTTAGGACAACCATAAATTAGGTATTCTCTGCTGAAGTTTAACATTTACCAACATTTTAATGATTAAACCACTACTTTATGAAAACACGTAAAAATTCAAGAAACAATATTATTGATTTTGTTGAATATTAAAAACTATAGCCACCAATTAAAAAGTACAAAAATTAGCCTCGTTCAGTCCATTTACTATAAAAGTTTAGAAAATAAAAATTACAATTCTTCTTATGCACAAAAATTATTATTAGGAACATACCGTAAAAAGATATAGATCAACCTAACAGCTTACTTAAGTACTATGAGTAGCAAAATATCAGTCTTATGAATACAAGCTACGTATTCTAGTATTGCGATTTATAATTTATTTTTCTAAAAGCGACATTCTGGTATATCATAACTTTCTGTATTATAAACTAGTTCTCTAAACACGATGAATATCATAAATAGATGAGTTTCTAATCATTAATAAAATATTGTATTCCATAGTTCTAGGTGATAAATGTTCATCTTCACATGGAGTGCAAAATGATTGCCTTGTAGATAAAACAAATGAAGAAATTTAGAGTATTCCTAAAATAAATTTAATTTTTAGAATAACATTGAATAACTCAAAGATTCCATTGTATTTAATTCATTAATCTATAGTGTAAATGGTAATCCATCTAAAATAACAAACTAGACATTTCTGGTTGCTTGTGTTGTGGATTTTAAGCTACTGAGACAAAACAAAACAATAAACTCTGATTTATTAATGAATTTCCAGCTGTCACAAGTTTGTGTTGGCAATTATACTCAATTGTAAAACTATTAATTGCATCAAATCATCTTCAAATGACACTAAGTAAAAATATGATAATTTGTAGCAATTATCCTACAACCAATTTCGATTATGATTAATTTTGTTTAAATCCTTTTATTAACTTAATAGACAATCTTATTGGAAAAATAATAATTCGCATATTTCTTAATACCATCGTTATAATCACTAGATCACATGTCAGAATCTAGTCAAGATGTTGATTGCTTAAATATCACTCAATGATTCATCCTCCTCCTCATGTATATTTGTACTCAAATCCTATTATTAATCCTTGCTTTACCTTGCTGTGCCCTCGTGCCATTTCACTATAAATTTTCCTATGTAATTGCTTGTATATACTTATTGATCTCCCCGCTTCAAATTTGGTCAATATTGTTTATAACTTTGTGATCTGCTCTATCAGCTAATAAATTGTATTTGCCGCTTCTCATTACCTTTTAATTTGAAACACCGTTGAGATTTATATTATAACGGTCATCGAGGTGATTGAGTAACGAAGCTAAGTCTCTACAAATTCATTCAAAAATTAAGGTATTTTCAAATGACTACATAAAAATATTCTTTTTTCCAGATTTTCATAATCCTGAATTCAATCTTGAAGACTGAAATGTTCTATCTGATGTATACATCTCAGTAGGATGTCATTTATAACGAGTTTTATGGAAGAAACATCTATTCATGACGAAATTGCTACTCGTACATTTTTCGTTTTTATTTTACCCTTAGTAACAATATCATTGGAATAATTATTGAAATGATCTTTTATTGTAACACATGTATTTGGTAAGGAGACAATTTAGATATAGTCATATAACTTAATTTACCACTGATAAACCTAAATGAAATAAATATTTTCAGAAAGGAATTTTTGTGAATATTATAGTGATTTTAATAGTTGAATTCATGAATCAATTAAGGCTAAACCACCATGAAAAACCTGAAAGCACTAGACGGCCGTTTCGCCCTGGTACGGGACTCCTCAGCAATGCGCATTCACGATCATGTACCAAAAAGACTCGAACAAAAGATACACGGTCTCGTGCGCGATCACCTAATCTTGAGACCAGTGAGTCGGCATTCAACGGTGTTAATGTCTAACTTTAACCGATCTACGAAATTGAGCCATCGTCCACCGATAGGTCCTGGGTTCGATTATGCGACAGGGGTCGTGAATATTCACGGCTGAGGAATACCCTACTAGGATGAAACGGCTTTACAGTGCTTCCAGGATTTACATGGTGGTTTGACTTCAATTGACTCATGAATTCAACTATTAAAATAATCATTTATTTTGTAAAGTCAGGTGATGAGCGAAAATAAATAGTAAAAGTCGCTTACATTAAATTCAGATCAATTGTATAAGAACAGTTATAGTTGTTAGCGAAACTTATGAATGACAGAATATCATGAACTAGATTAGATGAACGAATTTCAACGGATATAACTGAGAAAAAAATTAAATATTCTCTAATATCGGTAACATCGTTAATTAAAGTAATAACAGTAAAATTTTGGTTAATTATAGATTGTATGTTTAAAATTATTTCACAATTAAACTGATTGTATCGTATCTATAATAACTTGACAATATATGCAATTAATACGTGGTTTTTTGCATTTTAATACCTAGGTTGGCTGGAAGATTTAGCAAGACGATTAAGGTCTCCTTTTCAGTTAAATAGATCCGGTGGACCTACAGAAGGATCTAAATATTTTACCGCATTATATTTCACATGTAGCAGTCTAACATCCGTAGGATTTGGTAATGTTTCAGCAAATACAACAAATGAGAAGATATTTGCTATTTGTATCATGCTTCTTGGAGGTAAGTTTTTGTTGTAACTGTAAATATGTTTATGTACTTTGAATTGTTCACATTATAATTTTATTTATCAATTCATTGATTTATACTCAAATTGAATTTCAAATCCAAACAAACTCACATAACCTTGAGAGATGAATACAATATCTTTTTGGGTACTGTATATTAAAAAGTGGATTAAATTGAATCAAATATAAAGAATTCCAAAATTAATCCCATTAAACCTTCACTTCATGGAGAGCTCAGCAGAAAATTATTTTAAATACTGTTAAAAAGTTTAATTTTAGAAAGAAAAATTCTCTTTTATCATCATGGAGTGCAAGTGATGTATTGTAAAAGCAATGACATGAAAAATACGTGCTTTTCTGATGTTGACTCTATGCAAATGTAAATCAGTAATAATAATAATAATAATAATAATAATAATAATAATAATAATAATAATCGTTCCTACTTTTCTTCAATGTAAGTCCAATATTAATTTGTGTTTTTTTATGACATGCAAATGTTTCTGCAAAAAAGAATTATTGTACATATTATCTCCAAATCCTTGAATTGTAATACTGCTTCCTTAAAGTTTTAACGAGTTTGCAAAAAAAAATCACAAGAGCTACGAGATATTTATGTAAACATTTCTTGATTCAGACTTTCTTACATCCATAGTTTTAAACTTCAGTAATGAATGTATTCTGGGGTTCAGATAGAAAAACCAATTGTAAAATTTAAAGAGTGCAATTACAAATGAAGGAGGCTATAAATAAATGCATTTTATCCCTCATTTTATTAAACTATTCTTCGTTTATACGCACTACCTGCTTGTTAGGTAATAGGTGACATAAAAATGTCAGAATCACTATTGGTCATCAGTACAGTATAGTTTAACTCTATTCTATACCGTTATAAAATAAAAGGTTAGCTTCTACGTCAAGGAGATTTGTTGATATCAACATTTAAATACAATCATTCAGTGACCAAATAACTAATATTACCACATCGAAAGTTCAGATATAAATAACTTTTAAGTGATAAACATTATTTGTGATAGATTATAAGCCAACTAGAAGTAAATCTTTTATTTTTATTTATTTGAACACATAAATATTGGTACAAAGGGACATATGCTTCACATAAACCACTTCGTTTGTGTGTGGGCGATGATACTACCCAGGTGCCCAGACCGAAGCAGGTGGTTTTCTTAGGAGAGCACACTCAGAGCCCTCGACCTAAAGGTCTGACCCACAAGGCAGTGGAGTAACGTATGGAGATGCAGTCAAATGATAGCTGGTGACCGACGATTGGTACATACTTCATCTGTTTCCTCAGGATCCTGGAGCTCATGTTTTCCAACTCTCCTAGATGGATCATCAATGTCCACTAACCCTGTTAAAGCGCTGGATATTCGCTTTTATCCTCTCAATTTCGTCAACAACGCTCTCACCACGAAAAGGTAGTGAGATGGACTTCCCTTGCAATGGCTGTATACGCGTGAACATGTGAGAGCATTTCGAGAGGAAGAGCTAAATTCTCCCCCCCTCGGCCGTACCAGGATATTTGGGTGCTCGAAGTAAATGGTTTGCAATAATGAACTGTATTCGTAAATACCCAATTACCAACTTTTATACAAATTGAAAGCAAGTAGTTTCGGCGTTTTTGTTGACATTTAGGATCATCAAGCATGTTCAGAGAATAATGAATAATAAAAATTATTAGAGATAAATAAGTTTTGCATAAACATCTCTGTGTTAAACTATTTTCCAGTCATGGTCAAACGTTTACTTTAGTTATATTATGACTGCAAATCATTTAATTAGCTGCTAAAATTGTGACTTGTGAAGATGTATGTGTACGTGTAAATAATTTTCAAAATCTTTGTAGATAGAAAAATAATTGACTAATCATTGGTGTTCATATAGTATTATTATGAACGTGGTTAAAAACAATCAAAAAATACATAATGGCTGAATATTAATTAAATATACACTGCTTATGTTTCGGATCCAATGTTTTTAGTAGAAATAAATTCACGAGTAGAAAATGATGCTTTATCATTTCGATAACTCACTTGTTAATTTTATAACAAGTTTTTATTAAATGTACCTTCTTAGATGATCTGTTCTTCATCTTCCTCTGATTTACGAAGGAATTAGGAACTTTTTGAACATTTTTTGAGTTTTTATACATTTATATTTAACTGTCTCAATATAGATCCTGTCTACTGTCTACTGAAATCAGTACATTGGATTAAGTAAAACCAGCTTGTTTTTCTTCGGGTATTGTATCATTGACGTTTGCTATTGATAAACTTAGTCAATTATTCATGTAGGCATACATATTAAAACCATGAATCATTGGAATCTCTCTCAAGTTTTCTAATTTTTCTCTACTGTGTGGGATAATAACATCATTAATAAAAGAATGTGGATAAGCATTTCAGTTTCAATCTATTTTTGCTTTTCGTAATTCTTGTTGAATTGGATTATTTGTTAAATTCAAGTGTAATTCTGTTTCAATCTGTTTATCTTCCGTTTCCATGATACTTAAATGAGCTCTGTTTGCCAAATTATAACTTTTATAGTAACTGATGAAACATGTGCCTAAATATCTCTGAATATTAGCAGATCTTCGATAAATATGGTTTTAAGTCATCGTTCTATCTACTTTCAACTAGACAGTTGAGAAAAGTTATGCCTAAATATCTAGTAAACGGATAAAAGTATCTGAGAGAAACTAAAAAATACCAGAGCCTAGTATTATTTTATCCTTTTTAATGTGTCGTACAGATCGTACTTTTTTATATTTTCATTGAATATATTACACCATGTCTAATTTATTTCTAATAGGGTTCAATAATTTTGCAAAGAAATTTCGTAAGCAGTATGTTTATCATATAAATTATCATTATCCCACACAATGTATAGGGTCTTCTTTGAAATTTTGGACAGATGTTATCACATTATTAACGATACAAACCGTGTTCAAATCCTCATATAACTCATTTCACAGTAAACTTAAATTTACTACGGGTAACTAACTATACTTCATTGACTAAGATATTTTCTTAAAAATAATTTTAATAATGATAATTGTTTTATGCAGTTGTAGTTGATGAAAAGAAAAGGAATTGTTTACAGAATCCTGACCTATTATTTGTTGTTTATTATTAGTATGTGTCAGTTTTATGTTCAGTATACTTTGAGCAAAACAGAACTCATTCATATCTATCGAAACATGTTATAATAACGAAAAATAAATCAGTTCTCACTGTAAACTACATCACTATATAATTGTTTATGAATTTAGAAAATTTTTGTGACCCCGGATCTGACTCCAGTTATATCATATGTTTGATTGTTATTGAAATATACATATCATCATCTACTTAACTCGCGTTGGTGGATGACAAAATTAAATAAGTTAAATATGAAAATGAATGTTTGAATAAGTATATTTTGTACACTCGTTGTTCAGAACAGACAATCAGAGAATCGCAGCGAGTTAAGCAAAGAAATGAGTGAAGCGAAACATAAGGACGCACAGTGGAGAAGGCGTGTGAACCAACACAATTTAAATAAGTGTGAATCAATATTTATAGTCACACAAAAATAAGTTACAGACATGCGATGAATAGAATAAGAAGTGCACACAAATACGCCCATATAAAATCAATGAAGGTTGATAATTGAATAATTACCAAGGTGAAAACATGACTCAAGAAGAATGGATAAATTAACCCGTCCAGAAGCTAGAATAAGTTATATGGGTTTAACATTGTAACCGCCACTGAAATAATCTGTAAATGATTTTACAACTACTTCTTTTGAACACTTTTATATTTCAGTGGTTGAGATCATGAGTCAGTTAGAGCTAGATCACCATAGAAAACCTGGAAACACTGGATGGCTGTTTCGTCCTATTGTGTGACTCCTCAGCAGTGCACATCCACGATCTCGCCTTTCTAGATTCGAATCCAGGACCTACCGTTCTCGTGCATGAACGCCTAATCTCTAGGCCACTGAACCGGCATCCAATAGTGTTAATGTCTAACTTCAACTCATCAACGAAATTGAGCGTCACATATATTTCATAAAAATTATTACACATTTTACCATTGTATTCAGATATTCTTTGTTTCGATTTCCTGTGAATTTATTTGGAACTTGTGAATTTTTCGTTAGTCCAGAAACATATCAAATGTTTATAGACAAAATTGTCAATCACTTGGTATACAAAATACTAATGTGTTTTTAAACCCAAACTTCCATACATTTAATATTTTGTCAAAATAATTTCCTTCTGTATTTACCAAAAGATGTCGATTATGTGAATTATGGGAATTCGTAGTTTACTTGCATAATGTACTAACACACCTAACTATTTTTAGTTTGTTTGTTTGTTTTTAAATTATGCACATATACAATTAATACAGGTTAGAATAATCACTTGAAAACGTTTTTCAGTAGTGTATTACTGAAAAGAAAAAAAAGAAAATGTCAAAAGTTCATTCCCATCATCACTATCTTTAAAAAAATTGACATAACAATTATAATTAACCCAAATGTTAATTAAATAAATTCAATTCTACTACTTACTTATTCAGGATTAGCGTAACCTTAAACACACAGCTAACATATTCAAATTTTACAGGAATATGGTTTAGTTCATTTGTAATAATATTAGAAACCACTTTACAACGTACTAGATATCTTTTAATAGGTCATTATCTATTTATGTAAGATAAAATTTCAAAGCATCACTTACAATTGACAGAATAATCAAGAAATCTTTTCTGTTGAGTTGATTACTTAATTAATCAAATAGTTGACCAAATACATGGCTAAGATAAAGTGTGAAGAAAAAAAGATAACGAATGGCTATTTAGTTATTTTTGTTCAAATAATTCTTAAGAATCAAAAACCTCTTAGCTTAATCTTAATATAAATTATTATTCGAATATTGATTGTTTGATATTGATGTAGTGGTAAATGATATCGATGGTCAATATT